TGTTTGTGTGCGTGTGCGTGTGTGTGTGTGTGTGTGTGTGTGTGTGTGCGCGCGCGTGTGCCGGGGCCAGGGGAAGGAGGACCCCTCCCCCACCAATCAATCAATCAATCAAACAATCAATAATCAATCAATCAATCAATATTTATTTATTTTTCAATATTTTTATTTTTTTTTGTCACTCACCCAACCCCCCCCCGCCCCCCCCCAAATTTTAAAACTTTTGATTTTTTTTTGTACAAGTCGGTAGTGGCCAACGTGCACAGGTGGGGCGCGCGTGCCATTTTTTCGCGCGCGTCCCCGCCTGGCCCTGGCACCGCCGCGCGAAAACTCAGCCACGCGGCCTCGGCGGCGGGCCCGCGGCTGGGCTCCTCGGCCACGTCCGAGGCGGAGGTGGCCAGGGCCGAGAGGGTCACATAAACAAGGAGATATGTCAATCTTCATGGCTCTCACTCAATTTCCATAAAGAACTATCCAAGGTTTGAGGATCTATATGAAGAAAAGGAGGGCGACTAATTAACATTTTGACTCAGTTTGGGTTACAACAGCCCAGTATCCAAGGTTTGAGGATCTATATGAAGAAAAGGAGTAGTGCTTCAGCAGGGTGCAAAACTGATTTATAGCTTTGGTCCTAAGTTATAGACTGACTACCCCAGGCCTCCGGTCCCTTTCTACCTCATCGATGGTTCTTACTAGGGTGAATTGGTTGACCTGGCCAAGAGGTTTGTCTCACCGGAAGTGAGAGATTATGAGGCCGCGACTGAGCCATCAAGGTTCGCCCATCTTCAACGAGGGATCTTCTCCAGGCCATATCTTCCTACTTTATGAGAGGAGTCATGTGCTATGCTTGACTTTCGAATCTTTGGCCTTGGATTGTCGTATTCGGAACTCTTGGGCTTTAGATGGCTCTACATCTCTATACCACAATCGCGGGAAGTACATCGACGTGGCTCGAGGCGTTCAAGAAGCACAGTCAAAAGAGAGATTGAGGATGATACTTTAAAGGGATGAACGAGAACTCGTGACGAGCGTCGGCCACAAGATTATTGTGAGTTCTCACCTTCCCTCATTCACCTTGTTTTTCCCTGGAGTCAGTCAGTCCTGATTCGTTCATATCAGTATTGCTTGATGTTATGCTCTTCGCTGATCTTGTCACAGTTCTCGACTCCTTCAATTTGGCAATCATGATGTGATATGCATTTTGTTTTAATTTATTATTTGTATCATTGCATGATTCCATCTGCTACTCCGAATCATAATCGAAGATTCCTAAGACCAGGGACCGGAGTAGACCGTAGTTGAAGGGTCTCACTTGAAGCCGGACGCACACAACAGGAAAGGATTTGCATTATTTATCCGTTTGTTACAAAAATCATAAAAACCTTGCGTAATAACCTGTTCGCTTTTGGTCGGCAGAAGCGGCCTGACTTGAACAAGTGCAACACCTTGAGCGGTCCTGTACGGTACGGGTACAGGTGTCTACGGAGGTTGGGGAGGTCATGGACCGGACCCTGTAAGGCGCACTGGACGGTGCAGAGCACAATGCGATCACAAGTATGCTTTTTTCAAGTTTTTTGTAATTAGAAGATTATTAGATTAGATAGAGAGTTGCTGGAGGAGACAATCAGACTTATGAGAGTAGATTCGGCAGACAAATCACATTCATAAGGTCCACATACGTGAACAGATTCACAATATTGAAAAACTTCAACTCATCCACACAATTTGGAACAGACAAAACACAATGGGCCTCGCTCCACTAGGCAAAGAGGCAGGTATTACAATGGTCCAGGTCGGAGGCAGGCCTGACAGAGAGGTCCAAGCCGGAGGCAGGCCGAGCAGATGGTCAAATGCCCAAACTAGAGGGAGCTCAAGTTTGCACACTCTCTATGTATCTCGTGGCCATAATTCTCTGGATACGTACAAAATATCATACTCCTCTGAACGCACCAGGTCCAGAAAGGCATCCAAATGCACGTCAGAAGTTCAGTAATGGAGCGAGGCAAAATGGATGACATATCAGGTACAACTCCCAGATCTACGTTATATCCTTCCTTTCCCCTGAAATCTTCTTCAGCCTCAAAGATCGGTAAGCATTATTAACGCCTATCACTTCCTGCATATATAACACACAACTTCATATATAACACACAACTTCACTGTAGGACAAGCTGCGCCCACAGTGTCCACAATACTTGGCCTACTGGATTTGACTTCCAATGTGAATGCCTTCCCTCCCCACCGGATTCCCCCAAACAAAATGCATATGCATTGTAAACGCATACAACACATAGGTTGCTTCCTATTCGAATACAGCGCATGTGCGTTCTATTCAAACAGCCCTTAAATTCGAATAGAACGCGTACAGCCCTTAAATTCGAACACAACGCATATGCGTTCTATTCGAATCATCATATTCTTTTGAAAAATCGAATACAACACATATACGTTATGTTCGGGGGAAACGGCAGCTTGCAAGAACTACTTAACAGACAACAACTTGTAGCGCTCCTGGTGCTTCTTACCCGCAGTATTGCAGCCCTCTCGCAATGGCAAGCTAAAAAAAAAAAGCAAGTACGAGTTTCAAATAGGCAAAAGACAGTTGTATCGGCAGGTCTGTCACGGGCTGCGTTAGAAAACACAGTCAACGCGAACGTTCAGCCAGACGCGGTACTTTGTGACAGCAGGGGTGGGCCGAGGTGTGCGAGCGCATGAGTTAAAAAAGGTCCAAAAGACATAACTGCTATTTCTTCTTCCGTTGCCCTTTCGGAACTCAAGATGTGACCCAACTGCTATGTATTGTTTTTCTTGCCTTTTGAAACTGAAAACCTGACGCAGCCACAGTTGTTTCAAATAAAAAAAGCAAAAAAAAAGAGCTTTCAATGGCTTTGTGCAGAAGAAATGCCCAATCGAGTAATGGCCAATCGTGAAGCAGTTCGTACCATGGGAAGTTGTTTTGGCCTGTGGGCCTCCCTCCAACACTTACCAAATGTACAAAATGAGAATGAATCTTCCCCTAGAACATGGAAAAACATATGCAGCCATATTTTGTCTTCCGTTCATGTGGTGAGTAGTGGAACGAGGCCCAATATCATCTCTATGGCAAACCAATGAGATGTGTTCATCCACTGCCTAGCAAGGTGAGCAGCCGGAGACTACCGTCTTCACCTGAATAGAACGCCTGGTCGTTATGGCTATTTGGGGCGATTTTCAGTCCCGACGGAGAGATAATTACCGGACATTCTATTCGGGTGAAGATCATAGTCTTCTGCATCCATGTCAGCAGCAGTATCATGAACATGTGAACCTCAGCTGCAAGAAACCCCCTGACTAAAAAGAAGGCACAGAGAATACCCCAAGTGTTTACCGGTCAGTCAATGTGTGCTCTTCCCCACCTTATTCACCATCAACCCCTCCTCCCTTCTGTTTCATGTTGGTGATACCTCTTTTTTTTCTTTTCTTTTTTTCATTCCAGGCAACTTCCGTTACTCCCCTCTTTTCTATCTGTCCCATCTACCTCCATCACTGCAGCAGGCGTGGAAGCCCCCAGTCCAGGTCCGGATGGTGGTTGGCCCTTGTCAGTATCGTCAGCACCAGCTAAGTGTGGCCGGGCAAGAAGTTTATCGGCTGGCAACCTCCACTTGTCGAACACTGGCCGCCTTCCGTTCTCAAAACCCTTCTCAAAAATTGCTCGGCGAGCTATCATGTCAGGCTGCGAGCTTGACATCTGCTGCGCCCTTGCATAAAGCTTGTACAGTAACGTAGACTTTGCCATCGACGGTTCCCTCTCTAGTAAAAACAAAAGTTCCTTGAGAGAGATACTTGTCACGGGCGAATGCGCCCCAGTGACTGACAATGCAGTCCTACGCATAATTGCTGCGAGTCCACTTGCGCTGCCAAGTGACAATGACCCACCAGTACTGCCACCTGTGTCCATCGCATCGCCTCCTGGTCTTCCGGGGCCTCCTGAGGCCACTGCCCCCGCTGTTCCATACAACAGCCTCTCCTCTCCAGATTCATCTGCAAAGCCATCAACCCGTCCATCGGAAGCTCCAACCCCATGGGGCCAAGCTCGACTTGGAGGGTTACTAGATGAGGCACCTGGGGCAGCTACTCCACTGACTCCGGTTGCACTGCCTCCTATTAGTTGCCTATCATTTTGCTGCTTGTCTTTGGTGTGCCCGGCAGCCATAGCTTGCCACCGGCTGACGAGGCTCTTGTTACCAATATCACCAATAGCTGCCATTGCAGCAAGATTAGCAGATTGTGTCAGGTTACGATCTTCCTCTGCCTTCTGAAGCCTTGCCTTGTCATCCTTGCTCACATCTTTATCCTTCTTTGGGGCATTCTCAGAGGCTTTCAGCATCATCTCCCTCTCCTCCGCTGCCTTCCTCTCAAGCGCATCCCTCTCCCTTTTCTCCACCATACGCACTCGCAATCTTGTGTCCAGTGTTGGGATGATGTTGAATCTTTCCCTGTTCATATCCATCCGCTGTCTCGATAAGATGATCAGGCGGTGTAATATCCCCCTCAACCTCTCTTCCACTGACATGGAAACGCATCTGTACACATCCTCGTTTACATTTGCAATCCCACACTTCGATGCAATGGCGTAGATCTTCGACTTCAGGGGATCTTTTTGCAGAAACAGTTGTTCCTCTTCCTCCCTCACGAGCAGCCGAACTGCTTCATTTGCATGGCTGTCCTCCGCAGGGCCTGCCAGCAACTGCGCTGTCTCCTCCTTGAGGTCCACCCCGCTCACTCTTGTAACATCATTTAGCTTCTCAATGTCTTCGTCCCTCTCATTCTCCTGAGCTGCCTTGTGCTTCTTGCTTGGCTGCTGAAGTCCAGGTCCACCATCTGCAGGCTTCTTCCCCAGCAAGGGTGACTTCTGCAGGCCCGCGTTACTTCCTTTGTTCTTTCCAGCCTTCATAGAGCCAGTGACTGCTTTCCCCGGAGTGATAGACCCCCTGGGAGGTGGGCTACCTAGGGAGCTTGGCTGCACATCCACTCCCGATTCAACAGACGGTGGCAATGACAAACCTTCTGCACCAGCTCCTGGCACTTTGGAAACATAATCTGCATTACCTGCTTGAATCTGTGTCCCGGCAATCTTTGATGGCGGTGAGCCCAAGGGAGCCAGCACGGAGGAGACGGAAATAGGTGCAGATGACGGACACCCTGATGGCAATGTCGCAGGCGGTGCTGATGGAAGTACTGAGCATAGTGCTGCTGGAGGTCCTGAAGGCAGCGCTTTACAAAGTGCTGAAGGGACTGACGCAGGAAGCAATGAAGAAGAAACTGGTGACTGAAGCGCTGACAGAACAGCCGACGAATCCGACATTGGTGGACCTGCAGGTGGTGCTGTGGATGTGAGAGTAGGTTGTGCTGTAGTCATGGTGGAAGGCAGTGGCAAATGTTGTGTTCCTATGAGCAGTGGCTCGCTCACCATTGTACCACTGGAGATATCCAGCAACGCCTCCGCCTTTGTCGTGATGCCAACTGCCACATTCACGTCATTTCCCAGCTGCCTTGAGTCTCTCTCCCTCATGTGCGCAAGGCCAACTGCACTGTCAAGATGAAGCCCTGCCTCTAATTCCGTTTTTGCATCAAGCAGGGGATGGTCGGACCTCACTGATTCTGGGAATGAAGCTGCTGAGGGTCCCCCTACCTTGGGTGCAACGAGTGCAGATGCTTCCAAAATTCCTCCTAGAGAAGTCACCCCATTTCCACTTTCCTCTGAGAACCTGTCAGTCCTGTCAGTTTTTCCAAGTGTCTCACTTGTTTCCAATCCCACTGTGGGCTCCAGCTGTCTCTCCTGGGCAGCATGTGTGACCAAGGCAGATCCTTGAATTAAACCTGGAATCCCACCCTGAGAATCATCACCAACCACTGTGATAGGGGCTCCCAGTGGCACAGAGGAATGTTCCACTCTCCCCATAGCTCCTTCAACAACAAGTGGAGGAGTCATGGCTGCTGCAGAAGAAGCAAGAGGAGCCCCGGGAGTAGTACCCTTCGTGGGCTTCTTCTGTGAAGCCTTGCTTGTTGGCTTTGGCTCTTTGGGCTTTGGCTCCTTGGGCTTCTTAGGCTTCTTAGGTTCCTTGGGCTTCTTTGGCGCAGGTGTTGTCTGAGACAACGCTGCAATGGCAGATGATGCTGGAGTTAGGGATGGGCAAGCAGAAACCAACACCTCGATTGAGGACATTGAGAGAGGCAGGGAATTGCTCGCTTGAGAGAATGGCAAGTCAACTTGCACGGGCTCTGGTCCACCTGATGATGCTGGCATCAATACCCCCGTGACTCCAGACGGTGCTACAAGTTCCAGACTATTTCCTGAAGCCTTTTCCTCAGCAACCAAACGAGGAGCTGCGCTTGTAGGTCCCAACATGGAAGGCCGAACTGATGCAGGGGGCTGCAAATCCTGCACCGCTGTCTCGTTCCAAGGTCTTAGCATTCCTTGACCAGATATCTGCAATGTCTTTTCCTGGTCATTGACACCTATAGTAGGTCTGTTGTCATCTCCTGAAACACACATAGTTTGCCCGGACATGGGTTGGACCTGCAGTTGAGCCGGGAAAGGCTCCGCAGCCATTCCCTCCTTTCCTGACAGAGCTGCTGCTTCCGCCTTGGCAGCTGTGGCAGCCGCTGCTGCTGCTGCCGCCGCTGCGTCGTTAACCGTCTCAGCGGCGGCCACAGCTGCAGCAGCTGCTGCCGCCTCTTTAGCTGCAGCAGCCTGGGCTTTCTTCGATGGAGGCCGAGGGCGAGGAGCCTTTGGCTTCTTCGGCTTTCCTCCCGCACCCGCCACCGCCGTTGGTGCAGTTTGGCCTACACTTGTGTGCGGCAATTCATGCGCAGTCAGAGCCTGATAACCCTGTTGTTCTTGCTTGGGCTGAAGAGGTGCTGTGGTGCCAGGCACTAGAGGCACCCCGTTGTATGTTGAAGAAGGCAAAGCCAATGTCACTCCTGTCTCGTCCTTCTTCACAGCCTCCGTCCCCGGTTGCTGACACGGGGTTTGCTGCTGCATTCCACATGCAAGTTGCTGAAACAAAGACTCAGGCTTCGCTCCACTGTCCTGTGGGGCCATCGCTGCATCCAAGCCCTGCCCCTGTTGTTGACGCTGCTTCTCTTCCAACTGCTTCGCTTCCAAGGCAGCCTGTCTTTTCTTCTCTTCTCGTCTCAGCTTCTGCCGCTGATACTTTGTCAGTGGCTTCTCAGCAGGAGGCTGTGGCGCTTCAGATGAAGGCTGTGACTTTGAAATCAGCGGAGAATGTGGTGGAAGTGGCCCAGCTTTGTGTTGGGCTAGAGCCTGTAGGTGGGATTGCGGATGACTTTGCGACTGGTTTTGTGCCTGAGACAGGACCTGAGGATGCCGCTGCACCATTCTCTGGGTCTGTGCTTGGGACTGAGGCGAGGCCGATGTATGAGCCTGAAGCTGTTGCTGGGGCTGGGTCTGAGGCTGGGATTGGTGCTGAGATTGGAGCTGATGAATGGCGTGGAAGTGTTGTGGCTGTGCTTGGGCTCGAGGCTGGCCCGGCGTACACAGGGGTTGCAGTTGCAATTGTGAGAGGGGATGAGGTTGGAACTGAAGTTGGGGTTGGTGCTGCAGCTGAGATCGTGACTGTGCTTGGATCTGGGGCTGTGCTTGTGGCTGATGCTGCCGAGGGGGTTGGGGTTTCTGTAGCTGGGAGGGGGATAGCAAGTGCAACTGTGGATGGGCCTGTGGCTGCAGCTGGGGTGTGGCGGGATGCTGAGGTTGAGGATGGGCCTGGGTTTGCGGCTGGGATTGAACATAGAGCTGTGGCTGTGCTTGGGATTTCAAAATGTGCTGTTGCTGGCTTTGTGACTGCGGCACCAAGGACTGACCAAGCTGCGGAGTGGACTGGGACTGTGACGGGGGCTGTACCTGTACTTGAGGGTAGGCGTGTTGTTGGGCATTAACTTCTGACTGGGACAGGGCTGGGGGTTGTGGCTGTGGCTGAGGGTGCATCTGAGACTGGGGTTCAGAAAGAGTCTGCTCGGATGAAGATGCCAAAAGCGACTGGAAAAAGCCCGTTTTCAAAGGCCCAGGCAATGTTGCTGCTTGTACCCCCTGTTGACCGTGATGCAAGCCACCATGTGTGACCTGAGCAAGAGGTTGCACTTGAGAAGATACCGCCTGGCTGTGTGAAGGACCAGCTGATAACCCCGCGGGAAGCTGCTGGGGCTCCTGCTGTGACACACTGTGAGCCCCATCGTTTCTTGCCACCCCAAATGACTGCCCTTGTGATGTAAGACTTCTCATTCCAGTGGCTGCATGCTGAGCAACAGTAGATGAGCCCCCAGGAGCCCTCATTTGCCCCCCCTGAAGCGGACCATGAACATGCTGTTTTGGTGTTGCTTGTGAATGCTGCTGCTCCTGCTGTGTTGCTGCAGTTTGGTCTGTGCAAAATCCTGGCCGTGTCTGTCCTTGCGGATCTGGAGGTTGACTAGGTTGTTGAGACGCCATTGACGCAGTTGTGCCTGTGGGCTGCTGCTGCTGCAGGACAGCTTGTTGCTGCAGCAAAGCACTGCGAGACGCTGCCTGCTGCAGCTGGTTTGCTCTGATCAATACATCCAGCTTCTTCTGATCGTCTTCACTAAGATCCTGTAGTTTTGCCTGAGAAACATGATGCTGCAGATTTGGGGGTGATGTGCTCAACTGCTGTTCACTGTGAACAGGAGGCGGCTGAGATGGCACTTGATGCAATGGGGCTTTTGCGGGCTTTCCCTGAGCACCAGTTTGCCTACCCCGCTGTTGCAGCTGCTGACGCACTGAAGGTTTCCTCGGTTGCTGGATGTGTGCTTGGATGAGAGCTTGCACACTAGCTAGACTTCCATCTGATGCTTGTACTATGCTCTGTGTCACTTTCATCGCTGTTGTGTACATTTGCTCTCCAACAAGTTGCTTTAAGAGGAGGAAAAAATCAGGCCCCGAAACTCTTGAAGCCTTCAAGTCCATGACAAGGTTGGTCACCTTTGGGGCGAGCTCCCCTCCAACAGATGCCTGAAGAATGTTTACCAGTGTAAAACACCAGATATTTGCTCCAATGTGTCTAGCACTCGAAGTGATTGCACCTCCTCCGCTAGAACCCACAAAACCTGCACCCCCTGCTGCCGCTGCTGGGTTCGAATTTGATTGCTGCATATGGCTCGCGGCAGGAGCCAGGGAATAAGGAGGATGTGCAGTTGATGAGGTCACCGGTTGCGATGTTTCAGACCCAGTAACTTCCGCAGTTGACTGCTTCTGCTGCTGCTTTGGCTGCTGCTGTTGTTGTTGCTGTTGCGGTTGCAGTTGCGGTTGCTGGTGTTGTTCTGAGGTCTGTACCTGCTGATTTGGTACCACCACTTGGGACAAATTTTGAGGATTCGTTGAATGCTGCACATGTGGAACCTGCAGTCCAGACTGCTCTTGCTGACAGAGAAGATTATGTGCAGCCAATCTACTGGTTTGCAGCGGGAGATGCTGCTGACCAGTTGTTACACCCTGCAGAACCTGATGGGGTTGCTGAGCAGATCCTGCCACTCCTTGCTGCTGCTGTGAAACAGGAAAGCCTGCCACCTGCCGTTGCAGGTTACTGTACTGATCTTCCCTACCTGCATGCAGCTTGGGCACATCTGGCTGGCTCGGATGTGAACCCAGAGCAACCATTTGTTGTTGTTGCTGCAAGCCTTGCTCAGCAGACTGTTGAAGCGATGTCTGAGGTGTCTGGCACAGACTGAAGACAGCACTTTCAGACTGCAGAAAGGGATGCTGACTCAAACCTTGGGTTAGTTGCTGCTGCTGCTGCTGCCCATGGAGTCCAATCTGCTGCTGATAGTGCATCAACTTACTCGAGCCGTGTTGTTTATTCTGCTGTACAGGCCCCACCTTCAATCCGGTTTGCTGTTGTAGCTGTTGCCCTGACAACCCCTTCACGGCATGCTGGGGAATGTGTTGTCCAAGCATCACTGATGGCTGCTGAGAAAGATTAAGGCTCTGTCCTGGTATTCCAACCTGAACCTGCTGCCGATGCTGCACTTGCTCAGCTCCCGCTTGCTGCTGCTGCTCCTCCTGCCCTTTTTCACTATGATGTTGTCCCTTCTGTTCAAGGCCTGCGACAGGAGTGTTCAGTGCCTTTATCTCCTCCTCCTCCTGCTGTTGCTTCTGCTGCTGTAGCGATGCCAATGACAGTAGCTGCTGCTGCTGCTGCTGCTGTTGTTGCTGCTGTTGTTGCTGCTGTTGTTGCTGCTGTTGTTGCTGCTGTTGTTGCTGCTGTTGTTGCTGCTGTTGTTGCTGCTGTCGCTGCTGCAGTTGTTGCTGCTGCCGATGCTGCTGTTGATGTTCTGAAGGCTGCTCCTGTTTCTGCTGAGGTAGTGCTGGGGGCAGCTTCTGCCTCTGCTGAAATTGCAAGTGCCGCTCCTCCTGCTGTCTTAGTTTCTCTCCTTGCAGCTGCTGCTGCTGCTGATGTAATCTCAGTTGCTGCTCCTGGTGCTGCTGTTGTAGCCTAAATTGCTGCTGCTCCTGCACCTGCTGCATCTGCAGCCGGGAACCTTGCTGGTGCAGCTGTTGTTGATGCTGCACTATTCTCGACTGCTGCTGCTGTTGCAACTGCTCATGCTGCTGCTGTTGAAGCATCTGTAACCGCATTTGCTGTTGCTGAAACTGCTGCTGAATCTTCAACTGGCTTTCATTCTGGTCCTGCTGCTGTGGACTCGGATTCGGGTATTCCTTGCCTTCCCGCAATTCCTCTTGATGGGGTTTGCTCTGGTCAACCTGCTGCAGGAGCTGTGGCTGCTGATGCTGGTGCTGGTGCTGCAGCTGGGAAAGTGTCGTTTGCAGTTGAAATGGAGGACAATCTTGGGGCCTCGTGAACATCTCCAGTTTTTCCTGTGGTGTCAAGTGCCCCCACAATATCTTGGGCCGCCCTGCCATATTTCCATGCACGACCGTGCTACCAGAGGAGGACGGAACAGGGGTGTCACTCGCTGACATAGGCATGCGTGATCCTGCGGATGACTGATGCCCCCCAATGCCAACTGCTGGCAAAGTCACTGTGGATACGGGGCTGGAGCACGTGAGTTTATGTGATAATGAAGGGCTACCAAGGTCATTATCACCTGACACTATCACTCCCGCATTTCCACCTCCTCCAATGCCTCCACCAACCCCAGCTCCGCTTGCTTGAGCAGCAGAAGTTACAGTCCCATCAACCAACACCGGACCACGTGGGCCCGCTTCTGTTTTCCCCATGGCTCCCTGTTTTACCTCTTCAACCACATTCCCTTGCATCTCGCACGACCACCTCCCCTTCTTCTCCACACCCAAGGACGGATCCCCTTCACACCCTGAGCTCTTCCTCTCGCCATCATTCCCTGATGTGGCCTTCCGCTTTTTGGAATTCGATGGCGAATCCATACTGCAAACCAGACACTGATCAAAGTCAAAGGTGATTGGTGTACTCCTCGATGTCCACATTCATGCCTGTAAACGACTGCATAGCCGCTCCCCAGCGGAAGAGATGAGACCACGGAGGAGGTGCTGGTCCTCAACGGGCTGATATGAATAAGCCAAGATATCCCTCCAATTCCAAGATCGTTGGTGTACTTAATGTTTCCAGTCATGCCCATAAACGACTACATAGCCACTCCCCAGAGGAAGAGAGAAGAACACAGCAGAACTGCTGGTCCTCGATGGCCAAGATGTCGCTCCAATCACGAGATCATTGGCGTAATCAATGTCCACACTCATGCCGTAAATAACTGCATAGTCACTCTTCAGAGGAAGAGAAGGCCGCAAAGGAACTGCTGCTCCTCAACGGTGCCGATTCGAACGAAGGCCCTGCCGCAGGCTATGCTTCCACCCACCTGAGTTCGAATCCAGAATGAACAGACAGGTAACACAACTGTGTCTCTCCCCAGATTAAGAGAAGACGACGAAGGAACTGCTGCTCCTCAACGGAGCCAATTCAAACAAGGCCCTGAAGCTGGAAATGCTTCCACCCCCTGAGTTTGAATCCTGACTGAAACAACTAAGTAAATCAACTCTGTACCTCCCCAGAGGAAGAGAAGACCATAAAGGAACTGCTGCTTCTAAATGGTGCCGATTCGAACAAGGCCGTGTTGCTGGTTATGCTCCCCCCTCCCACTTGAGTTTGAATCCTGACTGAAAGTAAAACAACTCTGTCCTGGGGCCGGTCACTTCTATGATGAACTCTCGCAGACGTCGCCCTTTCCTTGAAAGAAAAAACAAACAAAAACAAACGGAAATACAAACATGTGGATGAACAGTAAAAGTGTAACTGTTAGTAAGCACGAGGAATGTGTCCTCAGGGGCCCCTATACAACATGCATATGTTCTGGAATGTAGCCCCCCAGCAAGCCTCGTGCCCGCCCTAAGTGAAGGAGGGCCTGAATATCCACGAGAGGCCCTTATCTCAGCATTTTTCAAAGTGGATCTCAGACAGTTGCTGCACGCCAGTTGGTTGAAGTGCAACCTGGGCCTCACGCTGGGCTCTTCCAGAAGAACCAGCTGCGCCAGGCAGTTGAGCCCAGGATGCAGGTGGTTGCGCCCACCACACAGTGTGAGGCCGACACATCACGAAGTGGCCACGTGTTACGGACTCCGCCAGGGCTCGATCCCTGGTCTATCTTTTTGCTGTTTCGGCTGCATCCCGTTTTCGGCCTGGCACCCTTTTTCCAAACCCCTCCTTTGGTACCGTAGGATTTTGGACAACTGGCGCCATACTGCAATTCGGGCGCCACTTTCAAATACCGCATTTTTCAGTTCTGCCCTCGGGGCCTTTGCAGAAATGCCCCTGGTACCGTACGTGTCACCAGTACTTATACCGGCTCCCCGTATGGTACGGGAACCAGTCTCGTACCAGTTTTCAGCTGCTGTACTTGTGCTTCAGTGACTTGCTTCGACATTGTGTTCGGAAATCCAAGACTTCGACTTTGCGACTTTGCCACTTCGTGTCTGCATCGAGTTGAGTGAGTGTGTGTGTGTGCTCTCACTCTCTGTGTTATGAACTTGGTTGTCTGACACTTTAATTGCCACTCTCACTCAGAAGAACTCACACACGCCCATACATGCATGAGACAAAGGGGAGAAGGAG